TGTGCTGTTCACAGAATTCACAGGCTGTGATACGTGCTGGGTATGGGTGGAGCAGCTACTACTAAAGAAAGAGCTGCAACATAATCCATCACAAACATAAAATAATGATAATAATAATAATAAGGGAAGGTGTCAGGTGATCTGATTGTGTCTAACAGAAATCCTATCAAGTGTCAAGGCAAGTTTCTTAGAGGAAATGACACTTGAGCTGCCCCGTAGAGTAGGCTGGCAGTGGAGCAGGACCTAACAAGGCCCTGGTGCAAGACCAGCAGCACAGCTAGAGAGGCAGGAGGAGCCAGGTCACACAGCACATGGTAGGCGGTGTGCAGGGTTCTGGGCTTATGCCAAGAACAAAGTGGTATAACGGGGAAGATAAGAAGGCAGCAGCAGGGGCAGCGGAGCAGAGAGACCAAGAACATGGACCCTTGAGCCAGACTGTCTGGATTCTGATCCCAGGTCTGCCACTTACTAGTTGTGTGAGCAAGTGAGGTTGGCTGGCCTCTCTCTGCCTCAGTCTTCACCCCTGTAATGGGGTAGTACTGTACAGCATCTGCTTTAGAGTGTTGGTATGTGGATTGAGTGGTCATAGCGCCTGGCACATACACAACAAGGAATCACTGGGGCAAGTGGACTTGACAGCAGTGACCCTGAACTATGGATTGTCCCCTACCTGCCTTGGAGCTGTCAGTTCCCAGGAAAGTTCTGACTTCTCCCATGAGTGTCATTTTGAAGACAAGAGTCTCTTGGCCTGGGGCGACAATTTTGGTGGCATTATTCTCTGGCTGTGGCTGTCTTTTGACCTTCATGAGGACAGGGACAGCACTCAACCTATATTCCCGTGCTCAGCATGGGATCTGAATGAAGGAATGACTAGATCGATGTGCTGCCAGATGAAGGGTCCTATGGGGCCTCCTTCAAGATCCTTGTGTCTCAAACAAAGAACTAAGTAAGACACACAGAAAAGGCAGTCAAGGTGAACATTTATTGAAGGTGGGAAAGAGGTGCACGCTACAGGGCAAGAGTGGGCTGGTGAAGAGGCTCACAATGGCCCTGAGGATAAAGCAACAGGGGTCTTTAGTATCCAGAATATCTGGATTGAAAAGAAGGCATACGCCTGCATGTAAATAAGGCATTAGGACCTTTGTCTTATAAAAATTCACCTTGCAGTCTGAACAGATAGCTCAGTAGTCTAAAGCACTTGCTTAGACAAGCTTAGGCAAAGCTCATGGACCATGGTTGGATCCCCACCACCACATGCCGCAGCAGTCCCGCCCCCAGATTGGGCTGAGCTGGCCATAAATAAATAAATAAATAAATAAATAAAATAAAAATTCACGTTAGGCCAGCAAGATAGATAGCTCAGCAGACTAAGCACCTGCTTAGGCAAGCACAGGGACCAGGGTTTGATCCCCAACACCACATGCCATGTCTGCTCTAGCCCCAGGCACACTGAGCCGGTCACTGAAACCAGGCGTGGTAGTGCATGCCTGTAACCCCAGCACTGGGGAGGCTGCAAACAGGAGGATCACTACGAGTCCAAGCTGCTGGTATAGTGAGACCCTATACCAAATACATAAAAAATAATAATACAAAAATTCACCTTTACTGACACCCCAAGTATGTTAGTTACGTTATTCTAATTGCCGAGACAAAATACCCAGTGCCCAAATTAAGGAAGGAAAGGTTTACTTGGCTTACAGTTTGTGGAGGTTTCAGTCCATAAACAGCTCCAAGGTAGGGTGGCAGGGTGTAGGGACAATAGTTCAAGGTGGTAAAAGACAGTAAAAGCAACAAGAGTGTATGTGAGAGAATCCTCTTTTTCTCCCTTATGTTGTAAGCACGCTACACCCCAGAGCAGGCATCCTGCCCCATCTCCATGCCCTCCTCTTGCACAGGATGAGAATGTTTACAAAGCAAGGACCCCAGCTCCCTGTTGAGTCACTTGTTTAAGCTTCTAAATTTATCAAGTCGACACAATGTCTCAACCATTACAATACACCCCTTGTCACCTGGCAACCAGACGCATTTCTTTACACTGGTCTTCAAAGACATACTCATTCTACCATTTCACAGCCTGAACATTATAACACAGGTTTAACAATCCTTAAGAACCAGTGTTAAGCCTATCAACATTGTATTACATGGGGCTGGGGATTTGGCTCAGTGGTAGAATGCTTGCCTAGCAAACTGGAAAACCTGGGTTCAGTCCTCGACACCAAAAACAAAGAAATAAACCTTCCCTAATGTTGTATTACATCATAACCATAACATTGCACCCCTGGACCCCAAAGACTTATATACAACCCTTTATGTAAAAGTCATTTAGTCCATGTCTAAGAGTTGCCAAAGTCCTAACAGTTTTAGCATTGCTGAAAAGTCCAAGTCTCAAAAGGGTCCTCTGAGATCTAATGCAAACTCTTTGCTGTGAGCCCCTGTACAAATGAAAAGTTAAACACTTCCAACAGTCAGTGGCATGAGGCAAATGTTTCCATTTAAAAGTTACAAAGAGAAATACAAAGGAATGGGACCAAAGCAAGTCCAAAATCCAGAAAGGCAAACATTAAGTTCTGTAGTTCCATGTGCAACATCTGAGGTGATCTGTGGAAAATTATGTGCTCCAAAGGGCTTGGATGGCTCCACCCCCATGGCACTTCTGGAGGTAGCAACTCCCATGGCTTCTCTCTTGAGCTTTCAGGTTTCATTAGACAGTCCACATTGTTGGCTTTTGAAAACCTCTGGGATCTTCATTGCACTTTTGGCTTCACCCTTACAACTTCACACACAGCCCTCTCAGGGGCTGCCTGATCTTCCAGGCCTTCTGAAATCCAACTCTTGCATTCTTCATATGTCCAAAACCAGTATCCCATGGATGCTGCCAAGGTTCACTGCCAGACTTTCCTCTCTCCTGGCTGCAGAGGTTGAGTGCCTAGATTTCTTGTACTCTGAGCTCAGTTCTGAGGAACAAATTTTCTATGCTGTTGCCATTCTGGAACATGGTGTAAAAACCACAGTTCTATGGAACATGGTGTGCTGGTGTTTTCTCCTCAAAGCAAAGTCTTTTGCTTTTGAAGTTTTGAGGCTGCAAACAGTGGAGAATTACTGCTTCTTGTGATGGCCCCAAGCCATCTTTTTATTCTCCTATTCCTTCTCAAAAACTGAGATCTCTTCAGCTCTATCTTTGTAGTCCACAGCTTTATTGGACTTTCATTTCTGGCTAAACTCACATTTTAAATAATCCTACTGGACTGTTTGATCTTCATTCTCAACATAAATCTGACTAAAATCCCCCAATAATAGCCATGCTACTGCCTCAACATTTGACTGCCACGAAATTTCTTCTGTCAGATTAATTAGCCTACCACCCTCAATCTCAGTCCCAGGCAGTCTCTAAACATGAGGAAAATGCAGACAAAATGTCTGCCACACATTGTATGGACTCCAATAGCCAGTGCAATCCTTCCCTGTAACAACTTCCCAAGCCTGGTCTTTACTGGTGGGGTTTCTATCAGCCTTTTAGTCTTTTGAGTTCTGACCAGAATCTCCCATGGAGTACAGCCTAAGGTGTTCCAGCTGTAGCTTTTAAGCCAGCAGTTCCATATCTTTCCAAACTCTTCCCACAAGCCATTCCCAGAGACTCTTGAATCACATGCTCAGGCATAGTCACAGCAACAACCCCACTCCTGATACCAAATTCTGCTCATAGATTGTGGAGATTTCAGTCCATAATCAGCTGGCTCCAAGACAGGGTAGAATGGCACAAGGGCAACAGTTCAAGATAGCAGAAGACAGCAAAAGCAACCAGAGCAAAAGAGGAGGCAATCCTCTCTTTCTCCCTTATATTGTAAGTAGGCTACCACCCCTTTGGGAGAGGGGGTGCAGCACATTACCTCCATGCTCTCTTCTTGTACAGGATGAGGATATCTATGAAGTGAGGACCCTAGTTTAGTTAAACTTCTAAAATTCTCAAGTTGATACAATGTATCAACCATGACCCAGTCATATTGAAAAATTCACTTTGCCTCTCACCAGATATAAATGAAAGATCAGTGTCTTTTGGTTGGTTACATCCATATGTAAATGAAGAACTGAGAATAACATCTTCTTGTTGGCCCTGCCAACAGCGCTAGATTCAAATGAAAGCACTTTTCTGATTGACCCACAGTGCTCAGGAGCCATAAAACTGAACCTTGAACCATTTTAGGGTTTTGTCTTCTGTGTATGTCCTCCTTTTTTTTTTTAATCATCTCACTTGGCTGGGCGTGGTGGAACATACTTATAATTCCAGCACAGGAGAGGCTGAGGCAAGAGTGTTGAAGGCAGCCTGGGCTACAAAAATGAGCCCAGGCTCATTTTTTTCACTATACCTCAACTGCATAGTGAAACCCTGCCTCAGAAAAAGAAAACAACAACAAAAAGTCTCACTCTGTGTTAGCCATAGGATTTTACAACCTTTGATGCATTGTGACCAGCCCACACTGTGTCTGTCCAGTTTGCTTTGATCTTACCCTCCTACCTCAGGGCCACCTGTGGAAAATAGCACTTGTACTATCCATAAGCTCCTGAGCATTATCGTGTGCTGGGCACCTCCATGCAACATAGTTCATATCATTCTCCCATTGATCTTGCCAAAAGGCTACTATTAGACACATATTAGATATATTTTGCTCAGGGAGATCTTGAAAGGAAGGGGTGTGTGTGTGTGTGTGTGTGTGTGCACGCGCATGTGTGAAGGGAAGAGGTCCTGGTCATATTTTAGGGAGCTGAGTGATTCAGAAATGTATTTAAGTTGAAGCCTAGAAGCCAGGGAGATAGCTCAGTAGAATAAGTGCTTGCCTGGCAAGCACAGGGTCCTGAATTCAATCCCTGGTGCCAAAAAAAAAAAAAAAAAAAAAAAAAAGTTGAAGCCTAAAAAGGAACGTGTTGGAATCCTAGAAGCTGGAGTTGAACCAGAAAGCAGGAAACAGTTGCTTTGTGGATCAGGCTGCAGATACCTCCTGGTCATGATCTTATTATCCTCAGCAAGGCATCCAGGGTCATTTTGCTTGTTTTCAGAGGGGTACAGAGGCATAGCCCTCCTCTCAGGCCTCCTTCTCCAGAGGCTCTGATTTGGGGAGAGTGCTGAGCTCAGCACAGCTGCAAGTGCAGCCCGAGCCTGCCTCTGTCCCTGCACTTTCTGTCCCCAGCTGGCCTTTCCACGCTGGCCTCAGCCAGGCAGTCCGCCCTCTCTGTGGAGACAAGCGGCCTTGGAGGACCTGGGGTTGTGAGAGGAGGAGTCTCAGGCGCACAGTCCAGCCAAAGCTGCCGCCCTGTGCCCAGGATCCCCAGACCCCGGAGCGGGCCATAGAGCTGCACTTTGGGCTCCTGTAAGCACATCTTCCCCGCAAGCTTCTGCCCGGGCAGCCAGGACAAGAGTGGTGACAAAAGTCTAAAATGGCAGGGTTGCAAATGAAGCCCAGCTAGGAGCGGCCCAGAGCCTCCTGAGGGGCGAGTGTCAGGGGGCGAATTAGCCGCTGGAGCCCAGACAGCTGGCCGCCCGCCCTCCTCCCTGCTCCTGCCTGAGCTGTGTCCTGCCAGGTGGCTCCGGGGCGGGGCCGGCAGGGGCCCTGCAGAAGGTTCTGCTGCTGGAGTGGCTCCTTTGTTCAGTTCCAGGTGCCCATAAACTGGAACATGAGGCTGGCTGTGGCAGCCCTGTGGCTGGGTCTCCTGATGGTGGCTGCTGAAGGTGAGGAAGACGACTCGTGTGTCTACGAGGCCCTGCCCGACGAAGACACCGCGCTCTGCAAGTAAGGCAGCAGACTTGGGGGAGGGGTGCTTCCCCAACCGGAGCACTGTCACCCGGCAGGCTTTGTGGGACAGGCTGAGGGCTTTGAAATAGGCTCCATCCTGCCTTCCCTGGATGACAGGGGGCTCCCCTGACACCCTAGACCTTCCCACTGAGACCCAGAGAGCCACCTATCCCCCAGCTTGCAGCCCCAAGCGTTTCCTCCCGCTCTGGTAACCGGTAGAGCCTGCGGCTCAGTCCCACCCCACCCCCACTCCAGGCTGCCTGTGGAAAAGCCACTTTTCCCAGACTCCTGGTTATCTTCAGGGCTCCCTAGGCCACTTTGTGGCCATGCCTTCTGTAGTTTGGAGGCTAAGGAAGGCACTGCCCACTAAGCCCATCTCAGAAATGGGAGAAGAGCTTTCACTTCTTAGTTGGGCATAACCCCAGCGCTCCTGTCAGAATCACCTCTAGTCAGCCTGGGCTATGGAGTGAGTTCAAGGCCAATCTGAGCTGCAGAGTGAGGCTCTGACTCAAACAAACAAACAAACAAACAAAAAAAAAAAAAAAACCCTTTCACTTTATACTCTATCTTCTTCTGCACATTTGAATCTTCACAAGCATTTAGAATAATAAATGAAAGTCTTCTCTTAAAAAGTTAGGTAGTTTTTGTGTTGGATTGTTTTGCTGAATTCACGCACCTGTAGTATTTAGATGCCAATGGAATACCCATCTCTGACAGGACTAAACAAAAAAAGGGGATACAAAAGAAGGACCATTTTGTATCTGTATATGCAGAATAGTTAGGATAGATATACAGCTACTTTCGCTTAATTCAATGAGAAGAAAGATTTGCACTAATAGTGTTTGGACAGGATATCTGTCTGCATCTTGTACTATGGACAACCACTAACAAAATAACAATGTGCAAAAAAAAAAAAAAGATAACAATGTACAATGTATTAATTATTGAAACTGTCCTAGTAATCAGTTTTGAAACTGTCTCATTGATATGTGTTTCTCAATAAAATAATTTAAAAAAAAAAGCACCTTCAAGCAGGTGCAGGGACCAGGGGTTCGGTCCCCTGGCCTGCCGTGCCAGCCCTACCCCCAGGATGCACTGAGATGGCAATTGAGACTGAGTGTGGTGGCGCTTGCCTGTAATCTCAGCTCTTGGGAGGCTGTAAACAGGCAGATCACTACGAGTCTCATCTAGTAGTGAGACCCTGAACACCCTGTACATCCTTCCCTAAAATAAAAAAATAAAAGTTAGGTAGTTTAATTCTAGAAGAAATAGTAACACAAAATTTGCTTATATTAGTATTTTTTAAAAAATACATATTGCATTAAAGATTGAACCCAGGTCTTTGTGCTGAGCTATATCCCCCATTTTTCTTTTTCATTTTGAGAGTCTCACTAAGTTGCCCAGGCTGGGCTTGAACTTGCAATCTTTGAAATGAATCATCCTAACCAAACTAATGCTAAAGAAGTCCTGGATCTTGAGGGAAAAATATCAGAAGGGAAAGCTTTTTAAAAATTGACACAAAGTGTTTTTAATACATCTATTTGAAAGTCTGGCTTATGTTTTGAGTTTCAAAAACAGGTGATAGCAGGGTATAAATTTTTAAAAATCCATAGTGTTCCTTCTACATCAATAATTAATTTACTGAGAAAGAAATTAAGGAAACAATACCATGCACAGTAATATTACACAAAGTAATGAAATTAATGTGACCAAGGAAGTGAAAGACCTCTACAATAAAACTACAGCACTCTGAAAAAGGAGATGAAAGAGGACATCGGAAAATGGAAAAATGGGCCAGCCAACTAGCTCAGTGGATTAAAGCACTTGCAAGCAGGCGCAGGGACCAGGGGTTCAATCCCCGGGCCTGCCGTGCTGGCCCCACCACTGGGGCACACTGAGATGGCAGTTGAGATTGGGCGTGGTGGTGTATACCTGTAATCCCAGTTCTTGGGAGGCTGTAAACAAGCAGATGACTATGAGTCTGATCTAGTAGTGAGACCCTGAACACCCTGTAGACCCTTCCCTAAAATGCCAAAAAAGAAAGAAAGAAAGAAAGAAAGAAAGAAAGAAAGAAAGAAAGAAAGAAAGAAAGAAAGAAAATGGAAAAATATGGTCAAAATCCCCATACTTCCGAAATTGATATGCAGTTTTCATGCAATCCCAGTCAAAATACTTTCAGAATATTCCTCAGAGAACTAGATAAAGAATCCTGAAGTTCACATAGAACCAGAAGAGACCCAAAATAGCAAAAGCAGTTCTGGATAACCAGAGCAAAGGAGTAGGCACCACGCTCCAAGATTTAAAGTTATATTACAAAGCTACAGTAATAAAAACAGCATGGTGCTGACACAAAAACAAATGCATGCATCAGTGGAACTGCAGAGACGGTGAAGAAACAAGCCCGGGGCATTCAGCTATCTGATCTTTGACAAAAGGAAGCGGCCAACCACACATGCCGGAGGAGAGCCAGCCTTTTAACAAATGGTATTGAGAAAAATGACTTTCTACACACAGATGATTAAATCTAGAGCCATAGAGCTCACCGTGTACTAAACTGAAGTCAAAATGGATCAAAGATCTAATGGAAACACTAAATCTTCTGGAAGACAAAACGGGCAAAACTCTTGAAGACATTGGTGTAGGCAAGGACTTCCTGAGCAAACGACAGTTGCACAAGAAATGACACTAAGGATGAACACATGGGATCGTGTCACATTAACAAGCCTTTGTACAGCAAGGGAAACAACTGACTGGGTGACGAGACAACCACAAAATGGGAAACAATTTTGCAGCGACAGCTCAAAGGACTAATATCTAGGATATATAAAGAACTAAAAAAAAAAAAAAAAAAAGTTAAATCCCCAACCAAAAAAGTTAAACTTTTTAAATGGCAACTTAAATAAATATGCATTTCCCAGAAGAAGAAGTACAAATGGCCAGAATATTCATGAAAAAATATTTCACAGCTCTGGTTATTAGAGAAATGCAAATTAAACATACTAGGCTTCCGTTCTTCCTTACTCCAGAAAGAATGGCTATCATCAAGAAACCAAGTCATAACAAACACTGGCAAGATGGTGAGAAAAAGAAACCCTTCTGCATTGTTGGTGGGAATGGAAACTCCTGAAGCCACTGTGGAAAACAGTGCGGCAATTCCTCAGAACATTAAAAATAAAAGTTCCACTGGACCCAGGCAGGCCGCTCCTGGGGATTTTCCCCAAAGAGTTAAAGGCATCATTTTGCAGTGATCTGTGCAGACTCATGTGTGCGGCCACGCAGCGCATACCAGCTAATCTCGGAAGCAGGCTGTATGTCCACTAGCACGTGAATGGACAAAGGAAGTGTGGTATTTATATGCACTTGAGTCATCTCTAGGAAAATGAGTACATAACGTTGGGTGAAGGAAACCAGACACACAAGCTTCAGCATGGCGTAGTTTCTCTAATATGAGACACCCAAACTGTACACAGCGTAAAGATCAAAACAGAAGCAAATAGGAAACAGGAAGGTAGGTCTCTTGCAGAAAGAAAAGGGATCAAGGGGTAGAGGCAGAAGGAAAGGGAGGAGGGGAAGGGATGGAAATGAGCTGTGTACCTATACCAGTGCCCCACGAAGAACGTAATTGGGACGTACTGCAAACACGGCTAATAAAAATTAAAGTAAAAGACTATGTGAGCCCTTAAGGCCAACCCTGGTGAAGTCACAGATTACTGACTTTGTCGTGAGCCACAGCCACTGTCCCTTTGTTCTGCATCACTTTCTTTCCTTCCAGGAAATGAGATACCCTGAAAGAATGCAGGAGCTATTTAGGTTCCTCTTCGCAGGAGAACATAGACCTAAGTGGCTTAGACTGCAGTCTTTGTGACTACAGGTTCTATCCCTGAAGGATATTTGCATGTTTAAAATGAGCCTAGGTGTGGGGGATGTTTAACTCAAATCCCACCGTCCATAGGATATCAGGCATAGGGAACTTTTGAGAATTTAGGAGACAGAGAAGTTCTCTGTCTGTGAAGGAGGTTATTCTGACTTGCTAAACCTTTGCCTTCTGTCATTAGAATGTTCCTAACAAGCAGTGCTTAAAGATTATGTTATTTTAAAGATACCAACCAAGGTTTTGTGCATGAGTGCATATGTGTGTGTGCACATGTATGAGTGTGTGTGTGTGTGTGTGTGTGTGTGTGTGTGTCTGCGTGTGTGTAGATTTAGCAGAGTCTTGCTATGTATTCCAGACTGGCCACCAACTCACTATGTAGCCAGGCTGGCCTCAAACTCATGATGTCTTGCCTCAGGCTCCCAAGTGCTAGGGTTACAGGCATGTGCCACCACACCCAGCAGACATTCTGTCTGGCTGCCCCCTCCCCACTCCACCCAAGGGCTGCCCATTCGTGGAGTAAACCAATGATATGTCAAAGTGAAAAAATATTCTGGGGGGGAAACTACCTCTGTACTGGGCATGTGCAGATGTTTCCCTTCTCATCGTTCCCTGAATTATACAGTGTGGCATCTGCTTGCCCAGCAGTGGTGCTGTACTAGGTATCATAAATGAGCTAGAGATGATGTAAAGGATACAGAGTTCTGTATATTTTATGTGCACAAACCACACCAGCTTATAATGGGTTTGGGGCACTAGGGACACTCAGTATCAATGGGAGGGGTGCCTGGACCCAGTCCCCAGCAGATACCCAGGGTTGGCTGTCTATGATTCTTAGAAATGCTGATGACAGTTAGCACCATCTTTTTTTTTTCTTTTTAACCTCAACTCTAACCAGGATCTTACTCTGCGCCAACCCTACCATGTAGCTGCTAGTAATGACCCCATTTTATAGGCAAGGAGACTAAGACACAAGGACAAGTGACTCTTAGGTCACACACAGTCAACAGCAGGCTTAGGATATCATCTCATTCTCTTCACATTCCCACTGGTGTTAGACTGAAGCCTCATTACAGGCCCCTGGGATGCATAAAGCTCCAGTAAGTGATGACCGCCTCCCTCTCTCAGTAGGCGCCTTGAAGTTTTCTACCCTGTGTTGGGGAACGTCGGCTGCATGTTCATCCCAGACTGCAACAACTACAGATGGAAGATCACCCACTGGGACAAACCCATAGTCAAGTTCTCTGGTGCCGTGGATGTGAGTGGACTGGGCTGGCCGAAGGGGTGCTAGGGGGTCCTGGGGCTCCTGAGAGATCTGAATTCCCTCCTCTGGGGAGCCTGGGGCCCTGTGCAGAACATCAGGGTTGGGTCTGCTGGTACCAGATGGATGTGGCCTCCCTAGAGTGGTGCCCCCAGCTTGGGACAGGTGGAAAGTTTGAGATTGCAGAGTGGAGCTTGGTAATGACAGTGCCATGTGACACTTGCTTGTGGTGGGGGGTTCTCCTTGTGTGCTGAATCATCCAAAATAGAAGGTCAAAGTGGAATCAGAAGTTTAGTCATAGGGCCGGGGAGGTGGCTCAGTGGAATAAGCACTTCCACAGCAAGCTCAAGGGTCTGAGTTCAATCCCTGGTTCTGTCAAATCCACGGCTTTGAAACACAACCTGGTATTTGACACATTGGATGCAAAGATTTCGTCCCAGTATTCCTTTGTTTGCTACATGCTACGTGAACTAGAGGTTACCAGCGCCAGCTGTCTTATGACCCACTATGCTTTCAGGTCAAATGTTTGCTATTTGTGTTCTGGGCACTTGTAGCTCCTCCCCGAGCCCATTAGTGCCATGTACCAGGGTGCCACCATCACTGTTCCTTTCCCTGGGAAGTGGCTGCCCCATCCTGTTGTGAGATCTTCCTGGGCTTGGATGTGTGAAGCCCTGGGGGAGGTGAGCGCGCTGTGGCTCCCAGCCACCAAGTAGTGTCCTCAGGAGCGGCTGCTGGTAGCCACCCTTCCTCCTCCACTCGGCAGCCAGACCGAGCCCCTGGAGCGGCACGGTTAAGGCTGAGCTCTTGCTTCCAGTTGTGTTGTGTCAGGAACACAGTGTCACCAAGGTCTAAGGACTATGGCATGACCAAGATTGAGGTCACAAATGGGTGGAGACAGCAGGGTAATGATGGGGACGCGGCTTCTGGCCCCTTCCACACCGTGCGGCCGAGAGATGCCACGGGTTGTCATGGCTCTGTGTCCTGGGGGACCCAGTGGGCTTCCCCTGGTTAAGCCAGAAGGCAGGCTGCACAGGCCCAACGAGGCAGCAGGTAGGAGAAGCAATGGGCACCACGGGGTTACTCGGTCTCCCCTGCGTCCGTTTTGTCTTTCTTTCTCCATGTCTTCACTGTCAGAGAGCAAATGGATCATGAAATGCCTCGCAGTTCTGGCTCCTCCCCTGCAGCTCTGACAGGTGGTCCTGTTTGCAGCTGTGACAAGTGTTCTTTCCTCCAGGAGGCTGAGAGCGGGCAACATGGGGTTGTGTGCGGGGTGCACGCACACAGGCACGCGCAGTGCCCTCCTCTTCCTCAAGGGACAGCTTCATGGAGCTGAAAAAAGAAGGCTACTGGGACTCCTCTCAGAGGTGGAGGATCACAGTGGTAGGGCAGGAGTCCAGGCCCTTGGGGACTAGTTTATGCGCCCCATGGAACAGGCTCTTTCTCTTTTTCAAAAAAACAGTATATTGTTTTTCTATGAAGCCTGGAGGTGGGGGGAAAAGGCACCATAGTGAGGGAAGAAATCACAGACAAGTCCAGGAGCAGTTGACAGGCCTCAGATCATGGAAGAAAATCCTTTAATCACAGTTGCAAAACATTTTTATGAAGGAGAAAATGGTCTCAATAAGATTAGTAGGGAATATGTTCTGGAAAGGGAAAGTAACTGGACAGAAAGTTCCAGCAGCAGCTTAATAGAACAGCCCAGGCTATTAGCGAGGCCGGTGCCTAAGGAGGCCGGAGGCCTTGTCCACGCGGTAGGCTGGGCGATACCTGCAGAAATCTCAAACTGTGCATAAACCAAATGGAATTATTTTCACAAGCGCTGCCGAGCTTCATAGAGTAACAGCTTTCTCTACATGAGCTTCAGTTTCGCAGCAAGAGTGTCCCAGGGCACCTAAACACGGGAGACAGCACTCGAGCACGATGTCTGAGTCCTTGGTGTAGTAATGTGGACACTCCAAATGGCTACACTGTCATTACCTCTAGGGGTTGCTGCAACTTCAAGGTGGCAGTTATGGAGACGATGGGCCTTGGTGTCAATGGTTAGAAAGCAATCACCACTTCTCTGTGTGTTCTCTTTTGGAATTTTTTCTTCATTTTTCTCACTCAACTCCGCTGTCATTTCTTCTTAGCAAAATTGACTTTTAAAAAATTGTAATCATTGGACCTGGCACTCTGGCCGTTGAGATGATTAAAACTGTCACTCTTCTAAGGGGGGAGAAAGTACTGCAGGACATTTAGGACTCTGAATGCCCAACAAGGTGGCCCCAGATTTTCCTGGCCTGAAGACTTGTACAACTTTCCCAATGAGGTCCTCACTAGGCGTCTGACTGCAGTTTGTTTCAGAGATAACATGAGAAAACCCTGGTTCTGGAGCCATGTGAACATTGCCGTGAGTGTCCTGTGGTCTCATTCCATTCACTGAATACCCACGAGGGTTGAACAGTGTGACATCAGAGACAGAGCCTGGCGTCAGGTCAGGAACCCCACTTTCACAAGTGGCATCCTTTGCAGCGACACCATCTCTCTGGTAGAGCTGGTCCATCACTCCTGGGTCAGGCTCACTCACCAGAATTTCCAGGGTCTGAAGCTGGCTGACCGACTAGCCACACTCTGGGAAATCCAGAGTATCCAAGTAGCATCAGTAAGAATTCATGCGTCCCGTATAGTATGCCATTCCTTCCTGGAAACGCCAGTGTGGGCGCCCTTGGTGAGGCAGCTTCATAAATACTTACTAAAGTCTAGTCAAAGAAGCTTTGACTAGAGCCAAACCCACTGTGATCCCTAGCAAGCTTCAAGCTTCAAGCAATGCTTTCAGTAAGAGAGTGGTTACTGCAGGTCTTTAAAACGAAACGTCTCTTGGAGACAAACATGCCACTCCACTTTGTGCATAAGCTTCTTGCTTGTCAATTTTTGTCTCTTTCTGGACTTCACCATTAATTCACTTTATCTAGGGGTTTCACTCGCAGAGTGAAGAGGCCCCATGTAGTGCTTGTCCTGAGGGACTCCCTTCCCTGGGCTGCTGTTGCTGCAGAGGTCCACTAGATGGCAGTGAATGCAGGCTTTTCTAGCTCCAGGATTCCCTCCTGGGAGAGATTCGTGCCAGTTCTGAGAGTCGATTTTATTGAGTTTAGTTGACACCAAGGGGCTTGCAGAATAAAGACACCAAACAGAGAGAAGATACCATGCCAGATGTGCAGTGAGGGGTGGGGGCACACCTGGAATCCCAGTTACTCAGGAGGCAGAGGAAGGAGGATTTCAAGTTCAAGGCCAGCCGCGGCATCTTAGGGAGAGTATGTCTCAAAACAAAAAATAAAAAGCTCTGCGAGAAAATAAGGATGAAGCGTCTGTTGCTCTGTGTCTTGAAATTTCCCACTGCACGGAGACATGAGCTGTGGTTCCCGAGGGCCTCTTTACCCTAAGTGCTGCCCGGGTCCTCGTCTCTCTTAATTCTTTTATCAGGTTGGCAAAGCCCACTCAAATTGGCATAAGCCAAAGAAAGGGGAGAACTTGTTGGTTCACAAGACTGAACACTGCAGGGATAACTTCAGGCCGGGCTGGATCAAAGATTTGAAGCAATGTCAACAGATGTACACGTCTATTCCTTTCTGCTTTTCTGTCTGTTGCTTTTCTTTGTAAAAAGACTCTTGACTTGTGGTGCAAAAGTTGGGTTCATGTAGTTTATCATCCCCAGTGGAAAAAGCTGGACACTTTGAAACTATTAAAAGTCCCAGGTTCGCCCTGCTGGGATCAATACTCACCCTCAGACCACCCAGCGATGCTGGGCAGCCACTTAGTGTCCGAGGGCTGAGAGCAGAAGAGGAGGAGTTCCCGAAGGAGCAGCAGGAGTTGCTTACAGGAAGAGGGGGTTGGGCAGGGAACCAGGGTGAAATCTGGCAGGGAGGCTCTGCCCAACCCCGGAGCCCAGGAGCCTGACCAGTGGTCTCTCAGCGAGGGCCATGAGGGAGAGCTTAGGGCGGATGCTGGCACAGTTTGGGGGAGCTTGCTGAGGGGCGCTGTCCTTAGCTAGCTCAGAAACCAGGGCAGGAAGAAGATCAGTGTGAAGGAGGGCTGCGGCTGGAGCTTCCTGTGAGGGCCTGAGGGACCAATCACTTGCAGAGAGCCTGGCTGGTTGAGCTGGAGCGGAAGAGGGTGCCTCTGGAGATGGGTCTCCCAGGCGGGGAGGTGCCTAAGCACTCGCAGAATGAATTTCCTCCGGGCCCCACCCTGACAGGGAAAGGCACGAGCAGGGGACACCGGCTGGGCTCCAGGTGATCAGAGCAGTGCCACCAGAGCACTGACCCAGGGGCATCTCCTGCACATGCCCAAAACAAGTCCCAAGGCATCCCAAGAGGGGTACAACGGGCATGGCTCAGCATCTCGGTGCCCACTTTGGGTCTCCCCATCTCCATACCTCTGAGCAGGCCACCGCCGTACCTCTGGGTCTCACTGGCCTCAAAATTTTTCTTCTAGGAAGTCTTTCCTAGCTGTCCCCCTCTGGGCCTCCTTCCTGGCCCTGACTGATTCTTGGGTTCCCTGGCGCGGAATTGGCGTGTTTACTTCCTGCCTTCTTCCCTGTGTGTGCTCCACGGGACCTGTCACTGTAGGCACCAGGAAGCAAGAGCGTGGTTCCTTCCCCCAAGTCACCCACAGACCCGCCAACATGTGACCTGTGCTGGCAATGGGGTGACTGGGGAGTGAGCAAGTGAACAGCAGGTGTGAGGGCACCTGAAGGGTGTAGGCTACGGGCTCTGCGAGCCCCACAGTTGCCTCCATGCTGCAGGGAGTCCCCATGCTTAGGAAAAGGCTGCTGAGCCCCGTGGTCCCAGACAGCAGTGCCCTGTCCTCCACCGGGGGGGAGGGGGCCTGGACTGGGATTGGACAGAGAAGCAGAGAGGGAAAGGAAGGACGCCCAGGGTTCACGGAAGACAACGTGGGATAGGAAACGCTTTGCTAGGGCTGAGCCACGCTGAAGTAAGTGACCTTTCTCTCCCAGCTCC